TTCGCTCCTAAAAATAGGAGCAGTTTCTCAGGTGCTCTGGGAAACCCTGGGATGAGCTGAACAAGGTGGTGCCAACGTGAAAATACAATTTCAGAAGATTTTTTTTTTTAGGGTTGAAAGTGGGAAGAAGTTGCTGAACTCGGAATTCAGCTGATCAGGGTTTAGTCCCACAGCTCAGAGAAGCAGAGGAGCAATTCCACCTGAGGAAGTTTTATTTTCAGCAGGGAAAAGTCCATCCTTCGGTTTTTTTGGGGCATCAAGCGCCCCTCCCCCGAGAAGCATCAAAGGCAGATTTGTTCCTTTTCAGGAGAATCGGAGCTGATCCCTTCGATTTTTTATTTTTTTTTTTTTTTTTAAACTCCAGGTGCTGGGATGGGGCTGGGAATGGGAAAACCGAGGTGTCCCTGCTGTGCGGGGGCTGCTGGGTCGGTACAGAACATTTTTATCCCTCGGGAGCTGGAGCAGCTCTCAGGGTGATGCTGCATTTCCCTGCTGCTCCCACCCAGATTTCCCGGGATTTTTGATTTCTCCCAGAACTGCTCTGCTTGCTTTCCCGAAATCCCTCCCCTCTCCTGCCTGTCCCAAATCCAAGGAATCCAAATCCAGGGGCTCCTTGGGAAGCAGCAGGTGATGAACACTCAGCTCCAAAATGAAAAAAAAAATTATTAAAAACCCAAGAATTTATTGCAGCCAACTCCACGGGACGGGAGTTCAGCTGCCAGGAGACAATTCCTGGAGAGTCCTCCCGGTGTTTTTTTTTTTTTTTTTCCTCCCCAAGACTGTTTGAAAAGCCTGGATTCCCTTTGGGTGCGTTATCCCTAATTATCCTGCCGCTGGAAGCAGCAATCTGCCATCCTGGCGCTGTAATTCCATTCCCAGCAATTATCGGGGATGAGAGAGTGATGATTCCAGAGGGAAACAGGCAGCGGGATCCAATCCAGCCTCACAAAATCAGGTTTCCTGCTGCAATTCCTGCCTGATCCCCGCCTCACTCTCATGCAATGCTCCCCGTGGAGTTATTTTTATTTTCCTGCTGCGACCAGAGCCAGGGAAAACTTTCAGCCTTGATCTGTTCGGGCATTTTTAATTTTCAATTTCAAACTTTAATGCGATTTTCAACGTTTGTTTTTCCTTAGGTTTGGGGTGGTTTTTTCAGTCTCAGTGTTCTGTTAATTCCTGGTTTGGATTTTTTTTTTTTTTTCAGCCAGGTTTATTTAGGAGTTTTTACAGCGAAATTCTAACACTCTAACACCTCTGCTATTTATTCCCCGAATTTTTTTGGGAAGCAGGGGCAGAGATAAATTCAGCTGCTATGGATGCTGATTTTTTTTTTTTTTTCTATTAAAACTTGGAATTCTATCAGGGATTCTTCCCAGCTCCTCGATTTTAAGCAGAAACCCCAGAATTTATGAACAATCCCAGGGCAGGGGCTTGGAAATCAAAGTGGGGGGGGGAAAAATCTGGATGGGAGGAAATCCCCTGGAGGCGTGCTCGTTATTAATCCCTTAATTAAGAACACCAAACAAGGCCGCGAGGGATCAATCAGCGCGTCTTAATTACCTCTAATCATCAGCTTTAATCACCCTTTGTGGAGGTTCGGGGTCGTGGTGACAAAAGGAGCTGAGGCCGGATCGTGCTGGTGAAGGACAAATTGTCACCTGGATAGGGGGGGAAAAAATTCCCTGTGTTCCTCCAAGGCAGCCGGAAAAATGTGGATTTACAGCTGGCCGGGGTTTGTTTTTTCCAGGAAAAATTCCAGAATTTTGGTGGCTGCAAGGAAAAAGGATGAGGGAAAAAAAAAAAAAAAAAAGTGGGATGAGGATCTTGGGGGAATTTGGGACATCAAATCCTGGGAATGTCCAGATGGAATAAATTCCTTCCTGGTGTTGAAAGCAGCAGGGAAGAGTTGGAAGGTTTCACATCAGAGAATTTGGAAATGGATTTCCCCTGAGGAAATGTGCTGGGACATCCCTGGAATTGTTCACATCCAGCCTGGCCAGGGCTCGGAGCAGTTTGGGATAATGGGAAGTGCCCACGGATGAACTTGGAGGTTCCTTCCCACCCAAACCATTCCAGGGCTCCGGGATTCCCTTCCCAACCCACTCAGGGTGACAGGGAATATCAGCTCATCCCTCAAAAAATCCCCAGGGAAAGCTGAATATTCCCACAAACCCATGGGAAGAGCCCCAAAACCCCGAGGGGACTGCAGGGAAATTCTGGCTGCTCAGGGAACCTGGGAGCTCCTGTCCATGGAAAACACAGCCAAGTCCTTGCTGAAAAACCTCTGGAATGCCAATGGATGGCTGGGAGAGCCCTCTGCAAGCAGGGATTTGGGGCTGGAGGAGGAAAAATTGGAATTTTCCAAAGGAAAGAGCTGCTCTTTCCAAGGTCTGAACTCCAAAGGTGCTGGAAGGACCAGGATTGAAGTTGTTGTTTAATTCCTGCAGTCCCCGAATCCAAAGATGTCCCAGGATCCCTGTGGGAAAAGGGATTTTGGGAAAAGTGTCCTTTTCTGGTTTTTAGAGGATGAGTCACACACGACTGCCCCTGCTGACCTTCCCTGCTGAGTTCCAGCTCTGCTTCTTTCCATCACCTCCAGCTTTTTCCAGGCTCAGATGGAAAATTTGGGATTTTTGGGCCCAGCCTGGATGTGCTGAGCTTATCTGGGAAGAGCATTCCCAATCCCAGCCCCATCCCGAGGATGCAGCTCCATGGATTGGAGTTTAGAAACCCATCCTGTGTATTTTTCCTTCCTGTCCTTCCCTTCAGTGATCCCAGCGGGGTCACAGCAGGAAAATGGGAATTTCCAGCCAGGAATGAAAGGTCCCAGATTCAGCTTCTTCCAGAATTCCCCCATAAATAACCTGAGATTTGCTGCAACTCTGGATTTCAAAAGGAGTGGAAGATCAGAATTTAAAATTCCATTATAAAATTCCATTTTTTTAAAACCAGAACTGGATTTTGCTGTATTATTTTATCCAAGCTCTGAAGTTTTCCTTTGTAATTTTATCCAAGCTTTGGACTTTTCCTTTTTTTTTTTTTTTTCCCCCAAGTATTGAAGTTTTCCTTTTTTATTTTATCCAAGCTCTGGAGTTTTCCTTTGTTATTTTATCCAAGCTCTGGAGCGTTCCTTTGTTGTTTTATCCAACGCTGGAGTTTTCCTTTTCTTTCCCCCCCAGCTCTGGAGTTTTCCTTTTTTTTTATTTTATCCAAACTCTGGGCTTTTCCTTTTTCATTTCATCCAAGCTCTGGACTTTTCCTTTTTCATTTTATCCAATCACTAGAGTTTTCTTTGCTTTTTTTTAATTTTATTTTATTTTATCCAATCTCTGTTTTATCCACTCCTGTTCAATTTTTAAGGAACTCAGCTGAGCTCTGCCTGCAGTGGGATGCTGGGAATTGCAGGGATGCTCCCAACACCTCAATCCCAAATATCCCAACAGCATCTCCAGCTCCTCCTGGCCCATCCTCGTGCCCTGCAGCTCCCTCAGCTTTTCCTGCATCCCTGATTTTCCCCGGTGCATCTCCAGCCACGTGAGACTCCCACTCCCCATCTGCCCATTCCCAAAGCGGATTCTGGGCACATTTGTGATTCCTCCCGGGACTCCTCCTCTCCCCCGGCTTTTCTCACCCCAGCAGAAAAAGCCCAGCCACCCATGGAGGTGGATTTCTGTGTTTGTCATTCCACATCCAAACCCCCGGGGTTATTACGGGAATTTGATGGTCAGGTGACGGCAGCAGAAATCGACGGGTGTTTTTTTTTTTTTTTTTTCCACCCTCACCAGGATTTGTTGGTGGGATTTGGTGCTTTAAATCTCTATTTATTTAATTTTTTTTTTAAATATAAATATTCATATCTTTCCAAGCTTCTCCACCTGATAAACACCTACTTTGAAGCCCACTCCGACAAAAATATGGGAAAATATTCCTGGGAATCGAGCACGCCACGTGCAAGGGGTGTTGGAAATTCTCCACCTTTTTCAGAATGGTTGGTAAAATTTATTCCAGTTTCAAACGTGCTCAGCTGCCCTGGAGCTGCCCACTGCAGCTTGGATTTCCTGCAGGAAAAAAGGGATTTTTTTGGGATAGAAAAGAGTTCAGGCTGAGAGGAGAGGCTGCAGGAGCACAAAAAAAAGAGTTTTGGGAAATGGAAAAAAGGAATTTATTGCTTCCCTTCTCTGTGCACACACCCTGACTTGGTGGAGAAAATGGAAGTGATTGTAAAATCTGCTTTGAATTTTTAAATTCAGAGAGAATTTTAAAATCATCTTTTCCTTGAATTTTTCCCTTTTCATATTTTTAATTTTCCTTCTAGGAACAAGATGCCCGTGAAGTTTAACCTCTCTTAAGAGGAATAAACCGTGGAAAGAAAGAAAAACCAAATACCCAACCATTTCAAATTTTGAAATTTTCAATTTTTCGTGTTTTGAATTTTCATATTTTCAATTTTCCTTCCAGGAACAAGATGCACGTGAAGTTTTATCTCTCTTAAGAGGAATAAACTATGGAAAGAAAAAAAACAAAACTAACCATTTAAAATTTTGAATTTTTCCTATCTTGAATTTTCCTATCTTGAATTTTCCTATCTTGAATTTTCCTATCTTGAATTTTCCTATTTTCAATTTTCCTATTTTCAATTCTCCTATTTTCAATTTTTCTTCCAGGAACAAGATGCCCGTGAAGTTTCATCTCTCATAAGAGGAATAAACTATGGAAAGAAAAAAACCAAAACCAACCATTTCAAATTTTGAATTTTTCCTATTCTCAATTTTCCTATTCTCAATTTTCCTATTTTCAATTCTCCTGTTTTCAATTCTCCTGTTTTCAATTCTCCTGTTTTCAATTCTCCTATTTTCAATTCTCCTATTTTCAATTCTCCTATTCTCAATTTTCCTATTCTCAATTCTCCTTCCAGGAACAAGATGCCCGTGCAGTTTAACCTCTCTTAAGAGGAAGAAAAAAAAAAAACGCACGGAGGGAGGAGCCCAACCCCCCAGACCATGGATCCTTTGTACTTTCCCAGCTCGGAATGGGCTCCTGGCGAGCTGAACTGGTCTGTGCCTCCCAACGCGACGGAGAACGCGACGCTGGCGGGGCCGGCGCCGTTCCCTTACATCCACAAGGTGCTCATCCCCGTGTGTTACCTGCTGGTGTGCGCCCTGGGGCTCAGCGGCAACGCCCTGGTCATTTACGTGGTGCTTCGGCACGCCAAGATGAAAACTGTCACCAACATCTACATCCTCAACCTGGCCGTGGCCGACGTGCTCTTCATGCTGGGCCTGCCCTTCCTGGCCACCCAGAACGCCATTTCCTACTGGCCCTTCGGCTCCTTCCTGTGCCGCCTCGTGATGACCGTGGACGGCATCAATCAGTTCACCAGCATCTTCTGCCTGACGGTGATGAGCATGGATCGTTACCTGGCCGTGGTGCATCCCATCAAATCCACCAAGTGGAGGCGGCCCAGGGTGGCCAAGCTCATCAGTGCCACGGTGTGGACTTTGTCCTTTTTGGTGGTGTTGCCCATGATCATCTTCTCGGACGTGCAGGAGGATTTCCAGACGTGCAACATGAACTGGCCCGAGCCGGTGAACGTGTGGTCGGCGGCGTTCATCATCTACACCTCGGCTCTGGGCTTCTTCGGCCCTTTGCTGGTCATCTGCCTGTGCTACCTGCTCATCGTGGTCAAGGTCAAGTCCTCGGGGATCCGCGTGGGCTCCACGCGGCGCCGCAGGTCGGAGAGGAAGGTCACCAGGATGGTGGTGATCATCGTGGTGGTCTTCGTGTTCTGCTGGCTGCCCTTCTACACCATGAACATCGTCAACCTCATCCTCATCCTGCCCGCAGACCCCGTCCTGGAGGGGCTCTACTTCTTCATGGTGGTGCTGTCCTACGCCAACAGCTGCGCCAACCCCATCCTCTACGGCTTCCTCTCCGACAACTTCAAGCAGAGCTTCCAGAAGGTTCTCTGCCTCCGGAAGGGGGATGGAGCCGAGGATGGAGACCCCGTGGAGCACAGGCAGGAGAACAGCAGCCGCCTGCAGGAGTCCATGCTGACCCAGAGGAACGCGCAGTTCAACGGGCACATGCAGACCAGCAAGGTCTGAGGGCACGGCCTGGCACTGCAG